GGCAGCGCGGGGGCCGCGCGCCCGCCTGCCCTCCGGCGCTGGTATTTCCCAGCGCCGCGGCTCCTGCTCTATTTATAACCGGGAGGCTCCGGCGTCGCTACGTGCTGCCCGCGGCCGCCTGCCCGCCGGGGCTGCCCCGCGCCGCCTGCTCAGCATCCTCGGCCACTCGGGGACTTGCGCGGCCGGGCGGGTGACGGGGCGGGGGGGACCGTGGCCGCCGCTGCGGTGACACATGTGCTGATTACGGAAAATGGGTTAATCTCTCCTGCGGCTGGAGGTGGCTTAGAGCGGGGGGGTGGCTCGTGGCCGGCCCCGGGGACGGCCGCGTGTGCCCGGCTCCGACCTCCGCCGCAGCGGCCGGGCTACGGGCGGCTCCCGCAGGGCTCGGGGATGGGGTGTTGGGCCCCACGTCTGCAGCCCCCCCAGGGTCACCTCGCATGGAGGGACGTGGGGGCTGTTTGCTGGGGCTTGGCGTCATTTTGCCCCTTCTTTTTGCACCTTGTTCCGCTGTGCCTGGCATTGGTGCAGAGCCCACCGTGGGACAGGCTGCCCGGAGCGGGAGCCGGTCGCCGTCGGAGCGCGGTGCTGCAGGTCGGGCCGGTGTGGCCCTGTGTCCTGCCGGGCCCCGCGGTGGCTGGCGGCGCCACGGGCTGCACTTGTCCGCCGGCTGTGGCGCAGGCAGCGGGACCGCCCGGGACCGCGGCGATCCCGGTGTGCCCATCCCGGCGCGGCCTCCCCGCTCCGGCATCCAGCGCTGAAAACAACCCGGCGCCGCCGCCAAGGGCACCCGCAGGACTACAACTCCCAGCGTGCCGCGGGCCGGCCGCGCCGGCAGGGGAGTGCTAGGCAGGCCTGGTGCATGCTGGGATTTGTAGTTTCCGGGGGCTGCACCGCTGGGGGCTGTGCTGTTGGGGTGCATGCATGGAGGGCGGGTGGGTGCTCCCTCCAATGCATCAGGGAATGCGGGTGCCTTATGTCAGTGAGGTGCAGGCATGGGGATCCCCAGGCAATTTTCCGGAGCTTCCTGGGGTGCAGCCCTGTGCCAGTCACCTCTTTCCAGTGCTCCGGAGAAAGCCAGGAGCCGAGCATGCTGGCGGTACTGGTGCTACCAGGCCGGAGCGCTGCTGACAATGCTGGTACTGCCGGGCTGGAGCGATGCCGGCGGCGCCGCTGCGGCCGTCGCATCCCGGGGGCCGCGACGGGGGCCGGGGGCACCTGTTGCCGGAGAAGAATGGCGCGTCTGGTGGCGGGTGCAGGAGGTGTAACCGGAGCGGCGCGTTCCTGGCGGTAACCGGAGCCGCACAGGCTGAGCCGCGACAGGTGGAATTTCATTTTGCAGCTCCGGCCAGCGCCGCACAGAGGGTGCCAGGGGACCCTGGGCTGTGGGGGAGCCCATCCCTGTCCTGACAGGGATGGCAGAGACAGGCGGCATGTGGGACAGGCGAGGGGATGCAGGGAGCAGCGCGGGGCCCCCCGGGTCGCATCCCTGCACAGCCTGCGCATTGGGAAGCGGAGGTTGAGGAGCCCCGTCTGGGAAGGGGGACCCCATCAGCACTGGGGCTTTGGGATGCCAGGCGTCCCCCCAGAGCGACGTACCCTGGCCGGGGCTGGAGCTGCCCGTGCCGGAGCGTGTGGCGCCGGCCTAGCGGCATCCGCTCGGCTGGGCCGTGATTCACGCCTGCCCGGGGACGTGAGAAACGTGACGGTGACTCAGAGGCCGGGATGCAGCGGGAATGCGGGGAAGGGGTCCTGCTGGCGGCCGCGCCGGGGACGCCGCTCGCTCCGTGTCGCGTCGCAGGGCTGCCCAGCTGGCTGGGGAGGGAGCCCGGCAGCGGCCGGGGATGCCCGGGGCCGTCGGCCTCGCGTGTGAGGCCGCCTCGGCCTCTTTGCTGACAGCAGCGAGGAAACCGCAGGCTGTGACCGCACAGCGGATCCGCGGGCGCTTCCTGCTCTGCCCGGGGGGAGGCGGCGGGGGAACCCGGAGCCGCCCGTGCTGGCACGGCTGCGGATCCCGCGGCTCCGAGCATCCCCGCGTGCCGAGGACAGGGACAGCCGGGGCAGCGGGGCCGGGGTGACCCCGACTGGGGAGCAGAGGGACGTGGGGCTGTCGGAGCCAAAGCGAAACCCTGTGGCCCCGGGAATCGAGAGTGGCGAGGGGGAAGCTGCGGCCGGGAGCGCTGCGGTTGCAGGCACGACAGGAAGGGCTCGGTCGCTGGGTTCGCCCGCGGCCCCCGGCGGCACCAAGAGCGCGGCCTGGATTTGCCGTTGCCCCCCCGCGCGGTGCCAGGCGGGCAGGGCGGTGCCCCCGGCCCCCCTCGTCACCGTCTCGCATCCGGGGCGCTGCTGGTGGCATCGCGGTGGCGGCAGGAAGCGACGCTGGTTTGGTGGCACGAGGCGGGCGGCGGGGACGGGGCTGTGGGGCACTGGCCGGGGTGGGGGTGGCTCTGTCCCCTCCCTAGGGCCCCTCTGGGCACGGTGTTTTCACGTCCCCATAGGGCAGGGATGGAGGTGCTGTGTGTCCCCTGCAGGGATGAGCACCGCAGTGCATGGCCCTGCTGCCAGCCGCTCTCCCTGTCCCTTTGGTGTGGGTGGTGGCCTTGGGTCCCCTCCTGGGGCTTTGGGGCTCGAGGCTTGGGGGTCCCCAGAGCTGCACCCTGCCCTGCCAGACCCTGGGAACGGGAACCGTCTGTCTGTGCACCCCCTGGGGCCGCCTCCGGCCTGGTTGGGAGGTTCCTCGTGGATGAGACTTGGCCCCAGCTCCGTGGCCTTGTTTTCTGCGGGGCTGGAGCGAGGCTCTGGATTCCAGGAAGTAGCGATTCCCGGCCAGCTCCTGCCGGGGAACTGGAGGAAAAGGCGCCGGGCTGGGGAGGGCCGGGGGCTCCGTGCAGCCACCCCCTCAGCAGGAGCCCTGCCCTTCCCGATCCAGCTCCACGCTGCAGGGGCCATTGGAGGGGGTGGGACCCCACGGAGGGGGGGCGGCCACTTTTGGGGTGCAGTGCGCCCAGGCTGGGGCCAAGCTGGGGCTCCCGCCCTTGTGGAAAGCTAAGCAGAGTCCACCAGGGCCAGGGTGTGGATGGGTACCCTGTGCGGCGCCATGTCAGGCGTGAGACCCATCGGGGCTCCCATCGCTGGCTCCGCGGCCACCCTCGCCCGTCGCCTCCAGGCGCTGGGCCGGTGGCTCGGGGCCGCCCTGGCAGCCCGCGCTGGCGCTATTCTCTCCCAGGCCCATGGTGCGCCGACGGCGGGGGGGGGCGGTGTGAGCAGAGTTGAGTAATTGGGCCCCGCCGGAGCCTGGCACGGTGCCCGGCGAGCACTTGGCACCGGCAAACATAAACAGTTCGGCCCGCGCCCCCGGCCGACGGGGACCGTGGCCTGGCTGCACCGGGGCTCCCTGGGCAGAGCCCGGGCTGGGGACGGGACCGTGGGGGCCGTGCGGGGACACGGCAGCGCCGGGCAGGGTGACCCGCACCCGACCGCCTATGGGAGCCCGGGGCGCCCGTCCCTGCTGCCACTGCAGCCCGGGTGTCCCATAGGAGTCCCAGGGATGTCCCGGGGGCCCCCCGGGGGGGTGCCCAGGGCGTCTGCGGTTCTGGTCGCAGCGCCCGGCCGGGGCCCGGGGGGGCGGGCAGGGCCGAGCGCGCCCGGCCCCTCCCCAGCGCCTCGCCGGGCGGCCCAGCCTTGTTCCTCTGGATCCCTTTCCGCCTCCGCGGGGCCGGGAGCCAGCGCTCTCGGCAAATAAACATCCCCCGCCGGGCCGCGCGCCAGCGCTTAAATAAACAGCCGGCCCGGGATTGTGAAAGCCCCGCGCGCCCCCCCGTGCCGCCGCGCGGGGTCCCCCGGTGCGGGCGCCGCCGCCCGTTCCGGCCCTGCCCGTGGCGGGGGGCTGAGCCCCGGCGCGCTCGGCGCACGCATGGCGCTGCCGGAGCGGCACGTGGGAGCGAGCGCCGGCACGAGGCCGCCGGGGCCCCGCACGCCGCTTTGGGGTGATGCCGGGAAAGCGAGGCGGGGGGCGCGGGGCACCCCACACTAACGCCCCTCTCTGCTCCCTCCGCAGCCGCCGGAGCCGCCGCCGGAGCCGCCGCCGCCGCGGGGAGCCCATGGTGCGGGGGGCCGCGGTGCCCCCCGCCTGAGCCGCGCGCCATGGCCAGCAACAGCAGCTCGTGCCCCACGGCGCCCGGGGGCGCCCTCAACGGCTACCCCGTGCCCCACTACGCCTTCTTCTTCCCCCACATGATCGGGGGGCTCTCGCCGCCCAGCGGCCTCGCCGGCCTCGCGCACCAGCTGCCCGTCAGCGGCTACAGCACCCCCTCGCCCGCCAGTGAGTGCCGCGCGCGTGGGGCGCGGGGTGCGCGCGTGGGGCGCGGGGCGCGCGCGTGGGGCGCGGGGTGCGCCCGGGGCCTGGCGTGCACATAGGGTCTTGGGATGTGCACACGGAGGCTCGGGATGCGCACGGAGGAGCAGGGTGTGCGCGGTGGAGCAGAGTACGTGTTGAGGAGCGGGATGCCCCTGGGCTCTCGCGATGTGAACGCGGGGGCTCGGGATGCGCTTGGGGTCTTGGGATGCGTATGGAGGAGCGGGATGCGCTTGGGGTCTTGGGATGCGTATGGAGGAGCGGGATGCGCTTGGGGTCTTGGGATGTGCACGTGGGGTCTCGGGATGCACACGGAGTCTCGGGATGTGCAAACCCGGGGCTCGGGATGCGCGCGGATCCTCCCGCCCCGTGCCGGGGGCCGCTCCGTGCCGTATAAATAGCTGCAATAACAGGAAACCAACGGGCCCGAGGTCAAACAAAGCCCCGCGGCGCCGGCGCCCCTGTGCCGCTGGGCACCGCGGTGGGACACACGGGGCATCCCCGGCCACAGGGACCCGCAGCACCGCGGGGGCCTCGCTGGCTGCGTGGGGACACCAGCCCCCCCATGGTGGCCCCGGTGTGGCCATGGTGGCCCCGGTCAGCGGCTCTTTGTCCCCCGGCATGCGCGGGGACGCGCCGAGCGCGCTCACGGTCGCGGTGCCTGATTCAATTTGCCCCTGACAGGCTCGTCCATCACGGGGGCCGGGCGCCCCATGAGCGGCTGGGAGCCGCCGCCCGGACGCCTGGGCCCCCCCTCGCGCCCCGTTTTCCCCAGCCCTGCGGGTCGGGGTGCGGCCCCCCCGCCCCCCCCCAGCCCAGCCCCTGCCCGGGGGGGGGCGGCGCAGGCTTGGGCAGGGCCGGCCCCGGGCGCTGTCGCCCGCCGGAGCCGCCCCGGCGGCGCTGGGACCCAGTGGGACCAGTTCAGCGACTGGGTGGCGGCGGGTGGGGCCCCTCCCCCGCGCTTGCTGGGGGCCATTCCCGACGTGCCGCACTGTGGGAACCTGGGGGGGGGGGTACCTCTCATTTCCTGCCCCCCCACCTCAGGTGCCCCCACTGTTGGTGTGGGGGGGCACTGCCAGGTGCCCCCCAGTGCCCAGCGGGGACTGAGCCTCAGTTTCCCTTTGGTGCAATTGCTGGGATGGGGGGGGCCCTTTGAAAGGACAAGGAGCTTGGCAGGGGGGGCTCCCTGGAGCTGCTGTTGGGGGGGTGCCAGGGGGTGCCATTCCCAGGGGTGCCGGGGGGTGCCAGGGCTGCTCTTCCGCAGCCTGGGGAGGCTCCTCGGGCTCCCCGCGTTGGGCCCCGGTGCGGCCGGCGTCGCCCTCGGTGTGGCCGAGGCTCCGGGAGCGACGTCCCCGCAGAGGGCAGCGCCGCGGGGTCGGTGTCCCTGCCGCGAGGGGGCCCAGGCGTCCGGCGCGGGCCGCGCTGACGCGCGGAGGAGCCCCCGGCCCCGGCCCCGCCAGATGTGCTGCAGCTGCGCGCGGGGACGGGCGGGGGGATCCGCTGCCCTGCGGATCTTTAAAAGCTTTGGGGATGCGGCCCCCCGGGGTGCCGCGCGCTTTGTCCCGGCGCCGTGAAACCGGATCGGCCGTATCGCGTCCCCCGCGGGGGGGCCGCGCCGCCCGCCCGGCCCTTCGTGCCAGGCGGCCAAGGGGAAGTGAGCGGAGCCGCCGGGCACCGCGGCCCCGGGGCCGGTGGGGACGGGCGCCCGGCTGGGGCCCCCCGCGCGGTGTGAGGCTGCGTCACGGCACCCGTGCATCCCGGCACCCGTGTGCGGAGCCGGTGCCTGGCGCAAGGAGGGAGGCGGTTTTGGGGGCACATGGGGGGGCACAGGGGCTGGCACTTGCGCCCGTGCAGCCGCTGTTGGGCATGCGAGAGGTGCATTTGTGTGCGTGTCTGCACGCTGTGGCTGCGTGTGCATGCGTGTGTGCATGGTGCAGGCTGGGGGTGCACACGTGTGTGCATGGTGCAGGCTGGGGGTGTGCGTGCACGATGCAGTGGGGTGCACACGCATGTGCACACTGCAGGCTGGGTGTGCACACGTGTGCACGGTGCATGCTCTGTGTGTGTTTGCACACTGTGGACTGGATGTGCATGCGTGTCTGCATGCTGCAGGCTCTGCGTGTGTGCACACTGAGGCTGAACGCGCATGCATGTGTGCACACTGCAGGCCCTGTGTGTGTGTGCATGCTGAGGCTGGGTATGCACACATGTATGCATGCTGCAGGCTGGGTGTGCATGCATATCTGCACCCTGCAGGCTCTGTGTGTGTGTGCACACTGAGGCTGAACGCGCATGCATGTGTGCACACTGCAGGCCCTGTGTGTGTGTGCATGCTGAGGCTGGGTATGCACACATGTATGCATGCTGCAGGCTGGGTGTGCATGCATATCTGCACCCTGCAGGCTCTGTGTGTGTGTGCACACTGAGGCTGGGTGTGCCTGCACGTGTGCATGCTGCAATCTGGGTGTGCAGGCATGTGTGCACACTGAGGGCTGTGCGTGCATGTATGCTCTCTGACGGCTCTGTGCGTGTGTGCATGCTGTGCCCTGGGTGTGCATGCATGTGTGCACATGCATGTATTGCATTCAGTGCAGTGCTGGCTTCATACATGTGCCCAGTGCAACACAGGCTGCGTCCGTGTGCACGCTTTTTGCATGCTCAGCGCTGCACATGCATGCACATGTGTGCACTCACCTGTACATGCACATATGCTCCACGCTCGCTGCATGCCCATGCCTGCGTGACTGTGTGTGCCTGCACATGCTGCAGCACTCACTGGGGGGGACATGGGTGGCTCTGCATGTGATCCTGCCACTGTCCCCATTGCTGGGCTGCTCTGGGGCAATGTCCCACAGCAGGGCTGCATCCCTGGCCCTCACCACAGCTTAGCCACCAGCCCACGGTTCCCAGGAATGCCAGGGGCTCTGGGAATGCCAGCCTGTCCGCCTGCTCCCCAGTGCCCCATTGCTCGCTGCAGCCCCACCATGCTGGCTGCACAGTGGGGTGGCCCTGGGGTCCAGCCCGGCTGTGGGGCCGATCCCGTCACTCGACCCGATGGCTCCAGTTTCCTCCGTGCTGCTGCTCCCCTGTGGTGCCTCGTAATTAATTAATTTTTAAAAATTAATGAGCGAAAACGTGGCACGGGAGGCTACACGTGGAGGCTGCCAGGATGCTGTGCTCCAAGTGTGCAGTGCAGTATCATGCAGCACCGTGCAGCAGAGGTGCATGCATGCAGCTCTGTGCAGCACCAGACATGCAGGGCACTACACTGCACAGCAGAGCCCTGCGTGGATCTCTGTGCAGTGCAGAGCCCTGCACGCAGCACCATGCAGCAGAGGTGCCCTGCGTGCAGCTCTGTGCAGCACCAGGCATGCGGAGGGGGCTGCGTGCCGTGCCATGCATCTCCATGCAGTGCAGGGGCCCTCCAAGCAGCTCTGTGCTGTGCACGGCCATGGGTGCAGTGCTGTGCAGCAGGAGGGCCTTGCATGCAGTGCTATGCAGGGCCATGCAGCACAGAGGGTCCCCGTCTCCCCGTGCAGCACCACACAGTGCTGTGCAGTGCAGGGGCTCTCCATGCAGCGCCATGCAGCGCTGTGCAGTGCAAGGGCTCTCCACGCAGCGCTGTGCAGCACCACGCAGCGCTGTGCAGTGCAGGGGCTCTCTGTGCAGCGCCGTGCAGCACCACGCAGCGCTGTGCAGTGCAGGGGCTCTCTGTGCAGCACCACGCAGTGCTGTGCAGTGCAGGGGCTCTCCATGCTGCACAACGCAGCACTGTGCAGCACTGTGCAGCTCCGTGCAGCACCGTGCAGCGCTGTGCACGCCGGGGCCTCGGGAGCGCGCCGGCTCCGCGCCGCCGGCCCTGGGAAAGCCCATTAAGGCGGAGGTTTTCTATCACTGTCAGGGGCCGGGGCGGGAAGGGGGGATGTTCCTGCGCTGCCCGCTCCAGCCGGGAATTCTCCTGCTCAAAAGCGCCTGAAGGGGATAAATGGCCCCTTTTGAAGTGGGCGGGCGCGGGGGCCCCGGTCTCGGGCTGGGGGGGCTCCGGGCCCGCGCTGGCGCCCGGGGCGCCGTCCCCGCGGGTCGGTGGCCGCGCGGCCCCGGCGCATTCTTCGCGCCACTCATAAGCGCCGAGCAGACATTTGTCATGTTCGCTGCAGGAAGTTGGAGCAGCGCTGCGCTTTTGTTCCCAAACCTGCTGGCTAAGCAAAGCCTTTGACTTCTATTCTTATTTAAGCAGGCGCTGCTGATCCCCCTCGCGCGCACACACACATGCCCGGGGCCTTTTTTCTTGTTCTCCCCCTTTTTTTCCCTCTCTCTCTTCCCGGCTCTGCAGCCAGAGGGAGGGCAGGGTTTAGATAAAAGCAGGGCAGCCCTTGCTGCTCACTTTGGGGCCGGGGCAGGGGCGGGCGGCACGCGGCCCCACGCACGTGCACGGGAGCGGGTGTTGAGCGCGGGAGCGTGCGCGGCCGTGCACGCACTGCCACGCTTGCAGGCGCTGTGTGCCCGGCTGCAGTTGTGTGTGTGTGTGTGCATGCAGGCTTCTGCATGCCTGCCACACCTGGTTAGCATGCAGACATCTGCATGCATGGATCTGTATGCATCTGCATGCATGCTACATATGGTGCAGGCGGAGGAAGCCGAGGTCATCCTCAGCATGCACATGCGATCACACACGTGCACAGCTGGTGACCCACACGTGTGGCAACGTGCGTGCACACTCGCATGCGCGCTGGCGTTTGCTTGTGCACTGCCCCTGCTCGCAGCACGTCTGCAATGAGGTTACCAGAGGTAACGAGGTGGCAGCGCTGCGCAGGGCGATGCCGCGCGGGCTCCTCCTGCCCTGCGGCGCTGTCACCGCCTGTGCGGCGCTGGCTGTGCGTCCGGAGCGTCTCCTCCGGTGGGGCTGGTGCAGCCAGGCTCTGGGGGAAGGTGCATGTGCATGCAGCGGGACCATGCACATGCATGCA